AATATTTGCACCGAAGAGAGTTGAAGTCACAGGAGGTAGGTGAAAACTGCACAATGAGGAGCTTCATAACTTGCACTCTTCTCCTAATTGGAGTGATCAAGTCAAGGAGGATGAGGTGGGCAGGGCATGTAACACAGATGGGGGAGACGAATGCGTATAGGATATTGGTGGGAAAGCCAGAAGGAAAGAGGCCACAGTGAAGACCAAGGCGTAGGTGGGTGGACAATATAAAATGGATCTTAGAGAGATGGGATGGGAAGTTATGGATTGGATTGATCTGGCTCAGGATAGGGACCAGTGGAGGGCTCTTGTGAACATGGTAATGAACCTTGANGTCAGGTTTCATAAAATGCTGAGAAATACTTGAGTAGCTGCAGAATAGGCGGCTCCTCCAGAAGGGCTCAGCTCCATGAGTAAGTAAGTAAATTTTATACATACAGAAAGTTAAAAGCTGTGTGCAAGTCGCCTTAACTTATGCAACTACTCTGGAAGAAGTAATCGCCTACTTTAATACAACACGTACAGCATAGAAAACAACTCTCCTAACAATTCTCTCTTGCCGCGGTAATGCTTTTACCAAGCCGTTGCCTAGCAACAATAGGAGGGATACACATACACTCACACAGACTGATGGGAGGGATTTATGAAGTATGCCGTTGAGATGGGCTCAGATGCCATGGATGTAAATATCAGGTTTCACAAAGATTGCTTCAGGCATTCAAAACAGAATGGGATGGGGGGATTCACAGACAGCCTGCATGGAGATGGCATAAGCTTACTTCAGGAAAGAAGACTAAAAATAAAAGTAGGCTTATGAAATCACCATGCAGTCTGTGTGTCTGTGAATCCTCCGATATAAAGTATCAATGCCTGAATCAATCTTTATGAAGTCTTTTATGTACATCCTGACAACTGAGCCCATCTCAACGGCGTACTTCATAAATCCCTCCCATCTATCTTGTGTGTCTCTATGTGTATTCCTGCTATCGTTGCAATGCAACAGCTCGGTTAAGAGTATCCTTCCATTCGGTTCTAGGCAACGCAGCGCCATAACTGTCAGCAGGTTGTCCACGTCTGGGCAAACTGCAAGCAACCTCCACGCTGTTTGTGGTGCCTGGGCGGTCACCTGCACAAAGAGTGACCCGAGAAAAGGAATAAATCTTCCACCCCAACATGCTGCAACTTCCGGTTGGTGGAAGGAGAAAAACCTCATCCCGCCAATTATCGTGGCTGCAGACAAGCGAAATAGGAGATGCAGAAAAAGAAGTCGCAGAGGACACCCACGACTACAACGGGAAAGGTGTTCTCTTCCAGCCTCACCACTCAAGGCGTCCTTCGCTGTGGCGTTCCGAGGCAGGACACAGTAACAGCAGTAACAGGTGGCAATGGCAGGTCCTGTCACATTGGAACCCAGGGTCCCCGCGGCCTTACCCCAGGACGAACAGCAGATAACAGGTCAGAAATTGTGCTTAATGCCCATAATGTTTAAATTTCTTTCACAGAATGGTCACAAATGTGTAAATGCAATAAATATCACTATTTTTGCATCAAAATGTACGCTTCAATACGAATGCGAGATCGTGCACAATATCGAATTTCGAGGTCGAGATTTTCGGCTTCCGGCTTGAGTCAGACAGAGGCGCGAACGCGAATTAAACGGCATATATGCAACGACGGGGCGCATGAATAGTGGATGTTATCAGGAATGGAAATATGTCTATTGAAAATGCGCAACGCGAATATGCATAAATCGAGGTAAACTGTGTTAATTGTGTAAGGAAGGACAAAGCTTTACAGTCTGAACAGCATTTGCAATACTCTCAGAATGCACACGTTTTCGAAACACCCTTTCTTACATTCCTGATCAGTAAGCCGGGATGGTGATTAGGCTACAATGTGGACAATCTGGTTCAGTTCCTGGCAAGGGAAGGAAATTTTGTCAGCGCCAACGAGTCCATGTGGGATGTGGGACTGACCCATTCTCCTATTCTGTGGGTATCGAGGATAAGCCGGCCGGTGCTCAAAGATGACCACCTACTTCTTGTGTCGAAGTTAAGAATGAATGGAAGTACAACGCTACCTCCACGCACGTCTTAATGACATACTTAAGCGCAAGGACTTGGCTTGGTTTTTAATTAAGCACAGAGATAATGTTACGTTTTACCTGTTACATTCAATTCCATAACGCTTACGTCTTAATGGTTTATATAACGATGCTGTCAGTAACTTTGACTTTATAGTGACAAATGGAAAGACGGCAATTGATAATGAATTGGCAAGGATGTGGAAGAAAGCGGTCATTACTTATTTTGAAGTACTATCTCGGCATTTGCCTGAAGGGACGAGTAAAACTTCGAAAAGGTAGCCAGTCTTCGGGCCGATATTTGAATGCGGATCTACTAAATAAGAAGTAAGATTGTAACCCACTCGGCCAAGAAGTTCGTCACGCCCGTATCGTTCCGTAAGTGATTTCTCGAGCAGATCAAACAAGCTCCCAAGAACGGGCCGCGCCTTCTGATAACGCTAATCTACTCACATCGGTATTGACATATAACGTGACTTCCTCTGGTAATACATTAGACCATGAGGAAACAAATCTGCATTTTAGCCTTAACATTAGGCGTTCTGAGCGTCTGTGCACAAAATTCGGACGGTAAATGTAAGTACATCTATTTGCAGTTACAGTAGAATTTTACAACTGTATATGAAGTTAAGTTTAATTTAATTATAAATATATATGTATTTGGGCCTATTTTCAACTGTTGATATACTAACTCTGTGAGGCAGATTTCTTTTGGAATAACTAATAGTTGCTCAGCTGGTCAACATATTCCCCGCCTTTTGTGGCACCCAAAGATTTATTATCATGCTTACAATAGTGTACCACTGGTGCCTATCTTTAGCTGGGTAATTCCAGTCCACACCAATATATCATACTTCTTTAACATCCATTTTAATTATCCACACCCTTTATGTCTACTTCTCTCAAGTGTCTCCTAGCTTTGGTTTCTTAGATTTTATGTATCAATTTCTCATAGCTCCCATTTGTGCGACCTTCTCTCCCCATCTCATCTTCCTCGATATTTTGACGTTAATAATACCTGGTGAAGGGTATGAGTCATAAAGTTCTTTATTATGTACTTGTACTATTCTCCATCCTCCCATTACCTCAACCCTTTTAGATTCTAATATTCTCCTCAGTACCCTATTCTCAGACATCCTTTATCTCTGGTATTCCCTTAATCTGAAAGGTTAAGTTTCATACCCATACAAAACAAGAGGTAATATGCAGTGCTTGAGATGGAATGAAAATAGACCTGGGATGCCATCCCGCCCCACCTCAAGCCCTGGGTACTGTACATTGCATTTGCTGCCAAAGAAGTAACGGGATGCTTTTAAGCCATTTAGAAAAGAACCGGAATGCCATCCCGCCCCACCTCAAGCCCTGGTAACATGTAAAATTTCTGTCTGCTGGAATGTGATACTGCAGAGTTTCATGAATTGTTACATTTTGGAGGAATGTAGTCTCCCGGACTACATAATATCGCAGTCTAGAAAACAGTGGTCTTCTTAGTCATGTGTATGAGAACCTCAGATCTCTCAGGTAGTACTTATTGTTGTATTTTATTTGCAGGTAGTAAATCTCACAGTAATTATATGAAAAGTGTAGTAGAAAATTCTTGAAAGCAGGCATTTTAATTTTATGCTCACAATCAACTTCCTGTATGTCGAGTATCTTTAATGCTGGGCGTATACCTTGATTCTAAACTTCATTTTCATATTTATGTTAATTTTATATTTTCACATTGTATCAAGATTCTAGGTATAATTCGCAGTATCACCTTTAACTATTCAACCCTTGGATGCATGTTCATATTAAACTTTACTTTAGTTAGAGCCAAGGTTGAGTACGCTTCAGTAGTTTGGAATTCAATTACGTCAACTGATGCAAACAAACTAGAACACATTCAGCAGAAATTTACAGCTCTCTGTTTTAAACGATTTTCCCTCAAGTAGATTACTGTTACGATTTTGTTTTAGAACAATTGAAATTGCACACCTTGCAAAAGAGGAGATATCATCTTGATGTGCTCTTCCTTATTCAAGTTTATCGTAGTTCTGTACTTTGCCCTTCTGCTTTGGAAATTGTTGGCCTTCGGGTCCCTGTTCGATATATCTGAGACTATCCTATGTTCATTGTCTGTTCTGTTAGTAAAAATTGCCCCTCTGCTAGATGTACTTTTGCCGCTAATGTTGTTTGTAGGGGCGCTGATGTCTTTGGACCAGAAACTCTGTTGATGAAACATATCTTATACTGAATTAATTAAACTATTATTATTATTTTATTAATTTCGTTGTTATTATTATTATTATTATTATTGTATGCTGCTCTATTTGAAACGCAAATTCTCACATTGTGGCTTTGTCTGTGTATGTTTGCTTCTCTATTTTTATTTATGCTGAGTAATTAATATAGACTATCATTTTTGTATTTTGCTTTTTAATTATTTTTGTGTATTTCTCTATTTGTGCTAGCTTTGTAATTGGCCTCTGTACTGTTAAGTTTGCACATAAATAAACACGAATTATTATTATTATTATTGTCCCTATAATAAACACTGTCTTTCTGCTCGGTGCGCCTATGCTGCCAACGTGGTGGGTAAAGATCTCAACATATTTACAATCGGAACAGTTTCTGTCAATGACACTGAACCTAAAATTGTTAATAATATTTGTTNTTGAATTAGGATGTTGAGCTGCCACACAAATAAATAAGAATTAATTGGGTTATTATCATTATTATTAAATTATATGTGTGTATGTATGTGTATTGTCCTTTCTCACAACATAATGGAATAACCATTCGAAATGTACTTATTTTATTTTCTCAACTGTTAATGCTAACTTTAATTTTTCTTGAAATTTTTATGAATTTAATGCCATTATATAGACTGTCTTATTTGTATTTTGTCTTTTAGTTATATCTGTATTTATACGTACTTGTGCCAACTTTGTTATTGGCCGCTGTGCTGTTAAGTTTACATGTAAATAAACATGAATTGAATTTAATTATTATTATTGTATGTTGCTCTATTTGAAACTCAAATTCTCAGATTGTGGCTTTGTCTGTGTGTGTTTGTTTCTGTATCTTTATTCATGCTAACTGTGTGCTTAATATACTCTATCATATTTTGCATTCTTTTTTAATTATTTTTGTGTATTTCTCTCTATCCGTGCTAGCTTTGTAATTGGTCTCTGTGCTGTTAAGTTTGCATGGAAATAAACACTAATTGAAGTGAATTGAATTTATACTAGCACATGCAGGTATACATGTTTTTAATGATGGAGCTGGGAAGGAATGAATAAGTTGTTTGTTGCCCTTTCTGTAGTAATCATGCCCAAGATAACAGCCAAAAGAAAATGAGTTTACTGTAGCTATTTTTTTTTATTTGTCTGGCAGGTCATTTGAAATCAAAGTTTGATCCAGGAGGAAATTAAGATGAGATTGACTTCAGGTCGTACTTGCTACCATTCATTCTAGAACCTTTCGACATCAAATCTGCTGTCTAAAAACAAAAAATTATAACACACAAAACTATAATTTTGCCTCTGATTTTATGTGTATGTCAAACTTGGTCTGTGATATTAAGGAAAGAACATATACTGAGGGTGTTTGAAAACACAGTGCTGAGGAAAATATTTGGACCAAAGAGAGATGGAATGACAGGAGGTTGGAGAAAACTGCGTAATGAGAAGCTTCATAACTTGTACTCTTTGTCAAGTATAATTAGAATAATGAAGTTAATGGGATGAAAATACTGAAAGGACCTATGTCTCCAGAGATGTGACATTCACAAATAAACCTGTAACAACAAATAAACAAAAGGAAATCAAAAGAGTGATGGATCCAGAAGACAAGCCAAATACTACAGATCAGGAAGATAGTAAAATGCAGCAAGAACCTGAAGCTGACAACAATGAAGAAGAACCAACAGATACTGAAGAGGATGAAGACAATGAAAATGCTGACCACAAGGATAATGGAAGGAAAAACAATGGACAAAATGAACATGGATATGCACTGAGACCAAGAAGAAACATTCAAATGCACCCAAAGTACCGAGACTATTACACAGAGAGTCAAAACGAGGGTATGCTCACCTATACATATGACGAGCGCATGGAGAGCAAAGACAGCGAGAAGTGGAAGAAAGCCATTAAAGAGGAAAAGGATTCGCTCTACCAAAACAAAACTTGGATATATATAAACAGAGTGAAAGCAATGGCAAGAAAATTCTGACCAGTAAATGGGTTTTCAAAATAAAGGGTGATGGAAGACACAAAGCCAAAATGGTTGTGAGAGGATGTCAACAAAAGGAAGGGGAAATAGATTTCAAGGATACCTTTGGCCCAGTTGTTGACATGAATTCTTTTAGTGTACTGTTTGCCATAGCAGCACGTAAGAATATGAACATGCAAACCTTTGATGTGAAGACTGCCTTCCTGCATGGAGACTTTGAGGAGGGAAACTACATGGAGATACCAGAAGGATACAAGAACACTGGCAAGATATGTCTCCTGAAAAAAGTATTATATGGCCTAAGACAAGCATCATTGCAATGGAACAAGAAGTTGACAACCTTTCTAAAAGAAGAAGGTCTAAACCAACTAAAATCTGACCAATGCATTTTTAAGAATGATGCCAATAGTTTGTTCATGGCCATTCATGTGGATGACGGGATAATCATGGGAGAGGACGAAAGACAAATAGAGGAAATTTTGCTGAAACTGGAAAATCAATTCCAGATAACAAAGACCACAAATCCAAAAGTTTATTAAGGAATACAAATTGAGAGGCAACCAGATGGGATACGTATCTCTCAAACCAAATATGCAAGCCAAATGTTGGAAAAATACAACATGCAAGAAAGTCGAGAAATGAAAA